ACACTGCATGACTAAATCCTTTAAATACTCACCGGATCTCCAACTTTTGGGAGATTTCTATTCTTAGTAGCAAACTGCTGCAAAATAATAATTAAATTGTACAATTATCCATTGCAAGTACAGTAAGTTATAGATCATTCGCTCCGATGAAGGGCTAATGCTCGAAAAGTCAGCTTTTGTAATCGTTATGGTGGCCAATTTACCATTTCAACTTTGTTGATATATATATCCATATTATTTCATTACTCCCACCGATGCAGCCCCAAACAGTTTCTTTCAAAACTATCAGCCTTTATTCATTTGTATCAAGTTATAAATCAGCTTGCCAGTTTTGGACCTCACACTAACCAATAGTATTTTGTTTCAAAACAAGTGAATACACATTAAGATCCAAATTGAGAGGCGATGATTCCATTAACTGTCAATCCTGAATGTATCAACAAATCAAATTTTTTTATACTCACCTTCAACAACAAAGACCATTTTAAATCTTGGACTATATTTTGTTCACTGAATAAATTGAGAGTCCAATTATTTTCTTTTCCAACATTACAGACTAAAAAATTGGTTCTATCAATTCACTATGAACAAAATTATTTGACCCTAAGGAAGTGTTTTTCTATAAGAGAATCCACTGCAAATTTGTTAACGTTTACCTGAACTTGAGATGGGCTTTGTTGCAAAGTTAAGTTCAGCTGTTCATTTGTCTGCCTCAGTTCGCTGAGTTCACTTTCTTTTTCAATCTGCTCCAGTCTCAATCTTTCAATTTCCTTCACAAGCATATCATGGCTGTCATCTTCAGGAGACTCTGATCGCTCAACTGGCTTTGTCACTGCATACTCACCATTCACTTGGCCCTGTCGCAGTTTCTCATTTTCTGCACGCAGCTTGCTGATTTCTGCCTCCCGTGAGGGTTCTACATTTCGTAAACGGTCTATTTCTTGTAGGAGACGGGTTTCGTTCTCATGGACTTGAAAGCTTTGGGTGGATGGGGCACAACCCATTTTAGAATCAAACTGGTATTAGCCTGTATTTGACTGCTTTGCTTTCCTGTAAGTTTACTGATGACAAAAGTATCTGGTAGGGAGATTGAATTATGTAGATTGAAATGCCTGAATAACAGGCACAATTCCAGGGTCACTTTTCACCCCTCATGACTCTGAAATGACAAGAAAAATGAAGGGAAAAACTAATGGATTAGCCTTTCAACTCCAAGAAGCAATAAATATGCAGCTTCTCCCAATAATATCCATACCTTACCCTGTAAACAAGTAGTGAGAATACTCAAAATTATCATATAGTTGTTTGACATAACACCAACTTCTCCAAGCTAATTTACAAGGGAATGTTTAGTAGCTAGAGGGGAGAATTTACTACCTGATCTTAGGAATTGAAGGGTCCTAGGGATGATTTCACCTTATTACTGAGAAAATACCTAGTCTAAATTTATTGATATACTCAGTTACCACAACAAACAGGAGAACACAAGATTCAGGAAACTTGCTAAATTTAAGCTCATTCAGATAATATTTGTTTGCGACCCAAATCAAATTCATTGGAAGCCAACTGACCAACAGAAATCTTATGCCAAGCAAGGTGCTTTGAGTAAGTAGTAGAGGGGCGCATTGGGGTTTGCAGTTTTGGCTATTTGTTAGATTGCTTTTTCGGTTTTTGAGCCAAAAAATGTTAGTTTTTCCATTTTGTTAATTACTGTGTTTTACTGATTTTCTGTTTACAGCATTTGGTTTTAGGTTTTGTCAAAAATTTTGACGAGTGCTCGGATTTGGTATCCAATGTGCTTTTTTGGTTTTTCATTTTGGGGTTCCCGTTTCTCTTTGATATGAGCAGCAGTTATACACCTCTACTGAACTCAAATAACCACAAAACCTACGTTGCTCCTCTTGTAACCACAGTATCAGATCTATTAGGATTTCGACAACTGAGATGTGCAAATTTTACGGTTTAGTCATGATTTTGCATGCGGTTTTTGGTTTTGATTGAATTTTTTTTTGGTTTTGGGGTTTCTAATAGAACCCAAGCCCCCCTTCTAGTACGGTCTACAAATGAACTCACTTATTTCTTATTTTTGTCGAGGACAAAGTAAATTATTCACAGAGTCATTTGCCAAGGTCAAATATTGATTAATGGCAGATTGCAAATTCTAACCGCTTGTCAAGGAGATGAGAAGTAAAATAAGCAGCTCAAAAATTAATGCTGACCTTTTAACATATGCGATTAACTGTGGGCGAGTAAATGCAAGGTGTTCTTCTGTAAGTTAAGATGAACTACCTCTAGATTCAGGCAGTATTGTGAAACCTTGAATTTACACATGATCTGAATTTTTTTAGTGTCTTTGGGCCCTGATGCGATTGCAGAATGTTTAACAACTCTTGACATCTCAACTTTGTTATTTACTTCATTGTACGCTTCTAACTGTAGTAGCTGCGATAGCGTCGAACGGTAATATTTACATACACTGTAAGCTTACCTTTTCACGCTTTTGTCGCCATGCAGTGTTACAGTGTGCCTTTATCGATTTTTGTTAACTACGAATCTTTACCATACCAGACTCACAAATATAATAGTCATTTTATATGTAAGCTCGGTTCGGCTGGAGGGGAACAAATTTCGCTCTCGCTCATGACACAAGGAGCTCGCTCGGCTCGGTTCGTATGTCATGATTGAGAGCCAAACATAATTCCTTCCGATCTTTCTAATCAGTCAACGAGAACATATCATATATCACCTTACCAGTTGTTCAAAATGATGTAAAGACCAGCTTTTTTGAGTTAGATAATCTTTCCTAAATCTGAGAAATATCTCCCGCAGTCCGGGATTATTATGCACTAAGCAACTATACGCTCCCCACGTCTTGCTTCCTACGTAGAAGAGCATAATAGGGCCGTAATTGCTTACAAAATTTCCTTGGAAACCCCAATCCAAACAAAACGCTTCATTGAAAAGAGATTTCAACAAGGGATCGCTCATTTGAATGGACGATTAGTGCAGAACTGGTTGAGGCAGACTGGGAACTAATACTTGCACTTTTCAATATGGAGGACAGCTGTGAACGAAATACTGTTGCAAACGTAAAATTTACTTCTTTGTCTACTTATTTGTAAAACGAAATTTAGAATAAAAGCCATGGATGAACTGGTAACTGACCTTAGCAGTGCTCTGGATAGAACGAATGATCCACCATCAGCGCATTCTGATACAACAATCGGAACGAGAGAGTCGCCATCAGCAACCCCCGTTCGGAAAGCACCACGGAAGAGGCGAGGAAGAAAACGTCGATCGGATTATCCACCGTTCCGAGATCGTCCTAAAGTTAGTGCTGAAAGCAATGATTCAGTAGAAGAAGCCTTGATGGATTACATCGAAAATATATCCATGTGCCAAAGCGATTCTGAGGAAGAAACGTCGTTTACGAAACGTTTGTTGAAAGTTCAACTTCATGGCCGCGAAAATCCAGATCCTTACCCTGTGCAGGAAAAGGAGAAAGGAGAGAGTGACTCGGTCAGCGATCCTTTAGTAGGGTTTACGAAACGCAGAAAGAAACGAAAGAGGAAGCTGAAAAGAGTGTCGGCTGCTCAGTCGTTGAACGATCGGGATTCTCCGTTGGGTTTACTGGGGAATAATTTAAAATCTCTCAGCAGGACAAGGAAACGCAAAGTGTGTGGAAAATCTGCTATGGGAAGCGAAATACACAACAGTCTTAAACGACGCGACGAGGAAGGTAGTTTAGCTGATATTGAAAATGGTTTGAGTAGTGGATGTGGGGAACCCATGGAGACCAATATTTCTTCTAATCATTTCTACAAGTTACCTTCCAAATTACACGCTAACGCTCAGTTTGCCAAACCTTTAGACCAATCTTTGCAACATGTATCTTCGTGGGTAGACCTTGAGGACGGCGAAGAAAGAATGATGATCATAGCGCCGGCTCGGCGTAAAACTGAATCATATGAATCCTCTGGAGAGAGTGATCTTGAAGGGTTTTTTACAAATGACGAGGGCCGGCTTGGAGACGATGAAAAAGAAGAAAGCTCGTTTGAATGTGATGTACGAATTAATCCGTGGTGGAACGAAAAAAGTGCAAGTGATATGGAGGAAGAAAAGTTCCAGAACATTGTAAATGGAGTTATGGACGAATACAGAAGGCCTATTGTAGCTGGTGCCGAAGGAAAGTTTGGCTTGGGTATGTAAAAAAATTAAACCAATACTTATATGAGCTCATGTTTTATATACCACTTGTAAACAAACGCATCTCGTCTTCTTTATAAAGACTTCTATTTCTGACCAATGAGGAGAACCAATGATAAATGAAGCTTGTTTGTGACCCAGATGCTACAGTAGAATCACACCTGGGCCCAGTCGTTCGAAGGCTGATTAGTATTAACTTAAGGTTAAATTTTAAGTCTGGGTTTCTTTATTCCTTTGTGCAAAAGCCTTTTTGGGACAATTTTCTCTATTATTTTAAGAGCATCTTATCATCAAATTCTTGACAAAAAGAATTCTACTGAATTTTCTTTTAAAGCTTTCAGATCACAGATCAGATTTCATAATTTAGAACCCTGGGATGCCTTAACCCAGCTTTGAACAACTCAGCCCTGGACTACTGCCAAGGGAGAGTGTACCCTCACAGCTGCTCCCTTTCTGATAAACAGTGTTCTCTGCAGATGTCTCAGTAGCCAACCATGAAAAACACTATAATTTGGTTTTATCAACTGAGTTCATATTGAACAATTGATTCATGCTTTAGCGTGCACTATCCAGTTATGGAGTGCGTGGGAAGTTTGGAGAGCACAAAAGAAGCAGAAGAGTTGCCCAAGGCAATAGCCAAGGGCAACTCTAGCTTCTTGAATGGCCGCTTGTGCGAAAAAAAAAAATTCTGGAGAAGCGATTTGCTCACATTATCAACGTGCACTATTGGGATTTTGAGCAGGCTTACATATACTGAATTTGATCATGAGACTATGCTAGCTATGTTATAATTTGCTCTAACAAAGGGCTAATTCTCAAAACATCAGCTCAGAAACTCTTTATGGTGGCCAATTTACATTATTTGTCAACTCAGTTAATTCAACCAGATAATCTTGTTGTACCTGGTAGTTCCCAAATAATGTAGCACCACAGATTCCTTTGAAACTTACCCCCTTGATAAAAAACATGAAGGAAAAATTTACAATTCCAATGTAGATCAAGACAGGTATGTTGCTGTAAGTTTTATTCAACTGAAGTAGCCATTGCATCAGAAATTAGGTGCTGGTGAAAAAGTTGTCTGTGGGTCCTGGGAACACTTGTTAAGGTATCATAGTATTGTTATCACTCTGGTACCAGAAAGTTTGCTTTTTGTATCAACAGGTCTTCAAGGGAGATTAAAGAAAAATTTTAAAACACCTGGACAGGTATTGAATCTTGTTGTTTTAGCTTAGAAATGAAAATAGTCTTAATTTGAGTGGTATAAAACTAAAATGTGTCAATTCAACATTTCCATTTTTGTGTCACATATAGATTACAGCAGAATACAGCTTTTTCCAAATTGATGAGAATTATGTCATTATTTTAAAATTTTTATGATAACTTCCCCTCCTTGCCTCAAATGCATCTTCAGAATCTACCTTTTACCCTGAAACAAGACAACAAGGGCCAACAAACGTGAAGACAAAGGCAGATAACAGTGGATAATTTCCTTTATTCTAATGGCGTTAAACTTAACATAATCAACCACTACCCACAAATAACATAGCTAGTCTCGGCGGGCAGTGTGTGGATGGTAAAACATCTTGCATTAATTTCAGTTCCACAAAAGATTCAATAAATATACAAGAAACAGAAATTAATTATTAAATCATTAATTTAAAGCAGAAATGACAGTATGAGATAAAAATACAGAAATAGAAACACATGACAATAAATAGAAGAATAGATAAGTTATACACCAATGTCTAATGAAACAGGTTTCATTAGGACATAGCTAGCAGAGCTGCGCAATCAAATTCTGTATATGTAAACGTGCTCAAAATCCCGATAGTGCACACTGATAGCATGAGCAAATCGCTTCGTCAGAAATTTTTTTTTCATGCAAGCAGCCAACTCAAGAAGCTAGAGTTGCCCTTGGCTATTGCCTTGGGCAACTCTTACGCTTCTTTCTTGCTCTCCAAACTTCCTGCATGCTCCATAACTTGATAGTGCATGCTAAAGCATGAACCAATTGTTAATTAAGGGCCGGGCACCAGGCAAATTGACGGGGTGTGAGGGCGATTTTGCCCACCTGGTTTGACCATCTGGTGGAAAGTTTATCTGATAAAGAAGTTCAGTTCAAATAGTTTTACCTGCCTGTGAAGCTGAAAATGTTAATGAAACCCCTGGAAAAATTGTATTCTCCTCCATTTTAGAATAGGTCATATGTCTTTGACTCAAACTCAGTCATAGTGAAACTTCTGCCATTTGTGATTAATCTTTGAGACATACGTCAGTGTCACTTCAGGTAAACAGTGTTCCTTTGCAATTTACTATAAGCTCAGTCAGTTTGCCTGTGTTTTCCATTTCCCACAGGCCGTTGGAGTTAATAATTATAATTTTTATAATAATAATGATTTGTTTATCAATAATGGTAATTGTATATAGAACTAATCATGGTAATTATTTGATTCATTCCTTGGGAGAGTCTGATTTGCAATTACCTGCTAGTGAGTGATTATTGAGATCTGCTTGCTTTTTGCATTTTAGCAGCACCCCACATATTTGCGTATATTCTATTTATCGATATATTTCTTGTACATTTATTAGTATTATCATAGACTGGCATAAAACATGATCTATGCTGGCTTCCGATAAGACTAATAGACATAAAAGAAATAAAAATTATGATAAATTGTTAACAAGTATGATCGGTTAATTAATTGGATGACACAAAGTGCTGTTACCAATTAATAAAAACTTTGACAAAGTTTGAGAAACAATCTAGTCAATGATGACATGTTTTCGTGAGAAACAACTTACAATAACTCTTGTGACATTTGCAACCACAGCTTCCACACATGACACATACTATCCAATTACACAAGCATGATGCATTTACACTCCAATTACCAGCATTTTGCCTGCATTGTCCTATGAGCTCAAATCAGGCTGGTGATAGCCAATCATATTCAAGAATTTTCAAATGGCTCATGCACGTAGTTTTGATTAATATACATATATTAATAATTTATAAATTAGTAATAAGTGAATTTGAAAAGTGTGTCATTTCTCATCAGGAGACTTCATTGGGAGAGCTCGACAGGAATATTGCAGTCTTCATGCAGAATGAGAAATGGATGGAGTGAGTTTAATATTTTTTTTCTTTTTTAACACAATGTTTTTAGTATGTACTGAAATTACTTGATTGATTATAGAGATTTGCATTCAGCAATGGTAGTGGTTTTTGCCATATAGTTTAACTAGCACCCCACATATTTGAGTATGATATGTTAATGGTCATAAAAGAAATTTATTGATAAATTTTTAACAGCTTTTTTTCATTCTCTTTGAAATATAGATTGTCTGTTTTTCCTTCAAACAAGATGGAAAGGGCACAGGTACCTTTATTAATGAAATATAAGCATTGAGATATTCAACAAACTCTCATTTTCTAATGCTGTTTTGTCCCCATTTGGTCACAGAGCTTGAAACACTTTCAGCAGTTTGAAAAATGCCTGCGTATTTGTTTGAATTTATCACAATTTTTTTACAATTTACAATTTTTTTACATAGAAGTGACACAGACAGCCACGCTTGGTGTTTATCACAGTATTTTATATTAAATTGACATGTTTTAGTTGTTGTTAAAAGCATAACCCTTTAACCTGTTAAAGTGACCAGCATCTAATTTCTCCTTACAATATCACCCCAGAATCAAACGTCAACGTCATGAGAATAACAGAAGTGATCACCAGCTGAAGAAACAAATGCAGTTCTTTAGGCTGTGCTCTAAGAAAAATTAGAGGGAGCCTGGTGCTCTGAAACTGTGAAATCCAGGGTGCCCAGCATATGCTTTTTTTGAAAAAACTAAGATTCCTGAGTCGCCTAAGAGAAAAAGTAAGGTGCCAGGGGCTACTGGGTGCTGCTAGACCACAGCCCTGGAACAGTATGGAGAATATACATACTGATGTTGGGCTGTAAAGGGTCAAATTTCAGAAGAGTGCAATGTGGAAATCTGTATTGTATCTTTTAACCTATATATGCATTATTTTGCAATTGATTACTTGGAAACAAGATATTTTAAGTTTGTAACAGTTGAATACAGAGTTAATTTTCTTTACATGCTAGGTATACCAGTGGGCATCTTTATATTCTCTTCAATGTCGATCAGATCCAGCTCAGAAAGGGAGAGTATTACTGTGTAAAACAAGGTAAACTAAGTTTTTTTCTCAAAATAATATTCTTTGGCCAAGTTACTTGGTGTTTCTCCCTGAAGAAAAAAAAGCTTTGTGACAAATGATAGGTACTTGATCCTGTCTTTATGGAAGATATCATTTGTGTTGAAAATAGATAGAAAACACAAGGCTGATTTAGCCATTTTGACCTCCAAGAGTCACTAGCATCTAATTTGTCCCTACAAGATCACCTGTGAATCACTCATTAAGATCACGAGGAATTAAGGAAATGATCTCTTACTGAAGGAGCCCATGTTTTTAAAACAAAACTAATTCTCCTTGTCAGCACCATAGGAAATGTATAGAGAACAGTATGGAGAATATGCATACTGATGTTAGGGTGTAAAGGGTTAAGTTTTTGCACTGTTGAATCAGCTTTGTGTTTTGCATCTTTGTGTGTTGAGTTTTTGTTTACCGTATTCTGTGTTAATGGTCATCTTATCTATCTGCTCCTAGGCATCCCAACAGACCAGGTGCAGAATCAAAAAGGCGAAGGAAAATGCCGCCACCGGTAGACGGCTTGCATTCCACATGTAAGTGCTACTTTGTCACATGCTCTCGTTCAGAGCTTTTTTTTCTATGAATTTTATAAAGAATATTTTTGCATACATCTGTATTAGTAATGGCCAATATCACAGGGCACCCATACAAATAACTGAAGTATTTTTGTAGAACTAGATGCTTTGATGAGCATCTGTCACCAAACCCCTCACAATATTATCAAGAACAGTTTGTTTCTCTTTATGTTAACCAGGAATATTCATTTCAATTAATAATGGTAAGAGGACTGAATAGAGTCCAATTCATATAGGTAATCACATGATTTCAAGTGCAATTTGGAATAAATAAGCACGAGTAAAGACTAACAAAATTGCATGAGGCTGTAGGGCGAGCGCAATTTGTGGTCTTTACTCTTTATTCCAAATTGCATGAGAAAAATCATGTGATTATGTATTAATGATATACATGAAAAAATACGAGGTAGCTTACCATGATTATGCTGAAGAAAAGCACGCGCATCACATGCAAAAATGATTTATTCAAACCCTGTAAGTGACATTGAGATTGACATTGACCAATCATTCTGACCAATCAGAATGTCTGGTTTGTTACTTTCTTTGCATTGAATTAACCCTCTTCTGCACTGAATTACCTGAAAACTGTATTTATCGCAACCAATCAGAACGGAGTAATTTCTTCATGTATGTTATTACATGTAGTCTGATTTGTTTATCATTAGTAGGTGTTGCAAAATCTGAACTCATTTAGTTTGTCTGAAGCCATTACTAAGGGTTTTCTGACTTCTGTTTCTACAGCAACAGTTGGGGGGGAAGCTAATCCAATACCTTCATCCAACATTGGAAACCAGATGTTGCGCGTCATGGGTTGGACACCAGGGACTGGACTCGGAGCTGACAGAAGTGGAATCCAGGACCCNACTTTTAATGATTTAGGCATTGTCTTAAATAAAGTTACCTTGATTGGCGTCCACATGTAATGTCATCTCCACGTAGAAAGAGTTTTTCGTTTGTTCTTCAGCTGACACGTTTTGTCCCCTTGAAATTTTTGTGACTGTTGTCATTCAACACAACGAGCCAGCAAAAAAGAGCTCCAAGACTGATGAATAAAGGGCGAAAGTTTCTAAAGAAACTTTGGTGCTGTGTCGTTGGGGGTAACAAGGTGATTTGGTTATATCAACTAAGTTGAAATTGTAAATTGGCCACCGTAAAGAGTTAAAAAGCTGACGTTTCGAGCGTTAGCCCCTCGTTAGAGCGAATCATTCGCTCTGACGAAGGGCTAACGATACTGGACGAACTTTGGTAGTAGCTGTACTCCTTTAACTTCTCCGAGTGACCAGCATCTAACTTCTTGCGATATCACCCCTGAATGAAACATAATAACTTAACCAAAGTAAAGTGCACGCTCTGATTGGTCAGTTCAGTGTCCCCATTTGCCCGTGGGTGTAAACTGCTGACGTGAGCAAATGAAAGACTAGTTTTCCCGGCGCGCTTCTTTTTTTCTGGTCACGTAAGATTTGTTAAATAAAAGAAAATTCTTTTACTACAATGTATCAATGTTATGTTATAAAACAAATGGTAAACGCCACAGTGTACACTATTGAGGTTTGTTAAGCACTCAAGAAGCTAGAGTTCCTTTCGGCTATCGCCTCGCGCGACTCTTACGCTTCTCTCGTGCTTAGCAATCTCCTCTTGTTACCTTTCGTTGAACATAAAAAAGGGATTTTTTGTTCTAATGTTGGGAGACCTGTGCCTCCCATAAGGCATAGCGAGCTGAGAAAATACGTGAAATAAATGAGTCGGACGTGTTTTTTTTCTTGTAGTTTTTCATTTAACCTTACTGTGGATTCCCTAAAGCTCGTACATATTCGAATCATAAATCGATTGTTTGGAGCTTAGAAATAGATTGTGAAGTAGCGACCACACCTCTCGTGTGCACCCATAACTCAATAGCCGGTACGCTGAGGTCACGAAAGTAAAGGAAATGATCACCAACTGATTCAGAAGAAGCTCTTGATTGTTAAACAAATTTTTGTTGTTGGCACCTTAGAAAATGTATAGAGAATATAAGGGAAAATATGCCTATCAATGCAAGAGTGTAAAGGCGTAAGCAATCAATTACACACATTTTTACAAACTCAATTGAATGCACACCTTGTTGTTTTATGCAACATAGAGAGTATGGTATATTTTCACTTGTACACATAATTTGCAATAATAAAATTTTACAAGTACAACCTTGTTCAAGCAAGGATTAAACATTTTACAAACAAAGTTGAAATAAGGAAAATTCTATCGTACCTGCTAGAAGGAAATTCTTCTTTGAATGTCAATTTAATAACATCTTGGACAAGGGCGTGGTTCTAAAATCGAAGACAGTCATGAGATGCTTCAAACTAACGCCTTGGTATCGTGATAACCAACGATGCATAAATAAGGCAAAATAAATAAAATATTCGGTACAATAACAAAACAAAAAAATATTATCTAAAAAAATTTATCCAAAAAAGAAAAACACCCTTTGCTCAGCAAAGAGATCCAGGCAGGCATTATTTCGACCTCATTCCTCAAAATTTTAAAAGTGATGAACACGCATATTCCATTTTCCAGCAAAAAGGTGACGAGAAGATACAAATTTATGGGCAAGACTGTGTTACTTGATATATCGCTAAATTCTCTTTCCGCTCTNCTAAGACTTTTATATACACATACCTGAGGACAATAACCAATCCTTTGCTGAACCTAAAATTTTAAGAACGGAATCTCTTAGTCTTTAACTCACTGCATTGCACCAATGCAAAACAACACGACTTATAGAGCAGTTTTAAATCGACCAATCAGAACAAATATCGATATCATCACTGGCCAATGAGGACTCAAAGTGAAAGCAAGTAAAGTGCTTCAAGCGCGGGAAAACGTGAACGAAAACGTCGCGATTGTTAAAACGTTTACATCAGATTGGTGGAGAGGACAGTGCGGTTTTTCTGGACCAATCACAAAGCGAAGTAAAGTAAAACCAAAGCGATTCTGGATTACTTTCGACACTAAATTGAAAATTGCTCCAGTTGCTAGTTCAGATCTTCTTACAAACCTGTCGTAAGTTCGTCAAAATGTTATATCCGCCCATGTAAGCAGTGCCCTGTGAAATGCTCAAGTCTCCTGTTAACATGCTAAATGTGGTGGTCTTACCAGCACCTGATAGGAGAGAAACAAAAGGTAGGCGTTATAACGCAAGTGTAGTGAAGTATAATCGTTTGTCTCACAATGAAATCCCTTACAGTGTGGATTGCGAAGTTTCTGCTACAATCTGTACGCTTTTTCAGATGATGAGGTCGAATGGCTTCACGTTAAAAAGCTTCGTGTTCTGCTGCGATTGACTGGTATCCTGTTTTATAGACGCGCGTGAGTGGCGCGCCCAATTTTTTGCTTGTACGAGTGGTACGCACGATTATCGTAAGTACCAGTGGCGCGCGCGATTATCACGTGTGACAGTGGCAGTGGTTTGTCAGCGTGTCGCACTTTGAGGAACTTTTTTATCCATGTAAGTTTTACCGCCTTACTGTTTTGGTGTTTTACACCCAGTAACAGAAAATTCTAATTTAAGTGAATGCGAGCAATAGCAAGCAAAACTTAAACAGACAAACAAACAAAAAATTAAGATACAAAGCTGAAGTTTTAACAACCATTTCCTTACCATTTATTCCAAGCAAGCCAAAACATTCGCCTTTAGGAATTCCCAAGCACAGATGATCCACAGCAGTTACGTTTGTGCCACCGTACACCTGAAGGTAAATGAATTGAAGTTAAATCTTTGACTCAAGGAAGCAGCAAGCTTGAATATAGGTTACCAGACTCGAGATATATGTTCGCTCGGATTTTTTATTCCTTTTACTCGCAGGAGTGACCAAAGAGGAATTTCTCTTTACCATATCGATACATTTTTAAGCAGAAGTGTGATGAGAAGAAAGTAAAACATCACTGAAAGAATATTTTTTGACTTAATACCCAATTCTCAGAGCTAAAAGCATAAGAAATGTAGGATAGAAATTCATATTTAGATCTAAAGAGTGCAAGGAGTTGAAATCTTAAAAGAGGGTTAGGGTTGCGTTAAGTATTCGAGCCAGTGGCCCATTTCTCGAAAGTACTGCTAACTTAACGGGCCCGAAGCCATGTTTTAAAATCAAAATTTAAAGAATAGCAAAGCAGGTTCTGGCACCCAAACCAGTCCTTTTTGTTTCTTTAGCTGATAGTTTTATCGTATCATTTTCAAAACTTTTGAAATCCCCATCTTGAATGAAAACAGAACAGCTTTACGGGCCCGTTAAGTTACCGGGACTTTCGAGAAACGGGCCCCACG